GCGCCCGCCACCGCGCCCAGCTAATTTTTTGTACTTTTAGTAGAGACGGGGTTTCACAGTGTGAGCCAGGATGGTCTCGATCTCCTGACCTCGTGATCCAACCGTCTCGGCCTCCCAAAGTGCTGCAATTACAGGCGTGAGCCACCACATCCAGCCTAAAAATATTTTATGAATTCCAATTACCTACACGTTATAAACCAAATTAAAGAAGATCTTAATTTGACATTTAAATCCTCCCTTAATCTGACTTCAACCTATTTTCCTGTTTTTTTCCTCTCATGGTCAGCTACAGTCATACCAGATTTGTTTCTCTAACACCAACAGTACTTTCCTCCCTCTTTGCATTGTTAACCATGTTCTTTTGACTTAAAATGCATCTCATTTTTTCTGTTGTAATTCCGTCAGCTCTTCAAGGCCCAATTTATTTTTTCTTTTTTGTTTTCATTTGAATATCTAGGTATCAAATAAAATATGCTCATAGATTGTTAAATATTCACTTTTTACTTTCTTTTTCTTTCAAAATATTTTTAAATATAAATTTCAAATAGGTAACATATTCATGTGATGCAAAAGTTAAAGAATTAAAAATGTATCAAAATTAAACACTTATGCTCTTTGAAAGACACTGTCGAGCAAATGAAAAGACAAGTCACAGATGGGGAAAAATATTTGCAGAACACACATCTGATAAAGGTTTTATGTCCAGGATCTATGAACAACTCATACAACTCAATAAAAAGAAAGCAACACAGTAAAAGTGGGCTAAATATTTGAATAGACATTTTATCAAAGAAGAGGTACAAATGGCAAATAAGCATATTAAGAGATGGTCAATATCATTAGTTATTAGGGAAATGCAAATTAAAACCCTGGCAAGATACCACTGCCTACCAATTAGAATGGTTAAAACAAAAACCAGACAATACTAAGTGCTGACAAGGGACAGAAATCATTGGTTGTCAGAGACTAGGGGTGGGGAGGGATTGACTCAAAGGGGCCTTAAGGAAACTTATTGGAGTGATGGAAATATTTGATATCTTAGTTGTGGTGGTGGTTATGTGACTTTATATCAGTCAAAACTCATAAAACTGTGTATACATAAAGTATGAATTTTATTGTAAGTAAATGATACCTCAGTAATTCAGAGTAAAGTAAATTAAACCTGACTTGAAAAGAAATTAAAAAGTAAACAGTGAAATAAATCTCCATTTCACCTCTGCCTATTCCAAATCTACTCATTTCCTATATTGTCTCTGATTCTTCCCCCTACTCCCTACGTTCACCTTTAGGTAGCTGTACTGTTACTAGTTTCTTAATATATTCTTCCAGAATTTCTTTATTCACATGCAATAAATACAAATGAACATTCTTATTTTTACCTTTTTGATTAAAAAGGTAGCATGATATACATTCTATACCTTTCTTTTTTTTCACTTGACAGTGTATCTAGACGATCTTCCCATGTTGGTATATAGAACTTCCTCATTCTTTTTTTTTTCTTTCTTTTAGACAGGGTCTCGCTCTGTCACCCAAGCTGGAGTGGAGTGGCATGATCACAGCTCACTATAGCCATGACTCAGAGGTCCTCCTACCGCATCCTCCTAAGTAGCTGGGGGATTCTCCCACTTCAGCCTCCCAAGTAGCTGGTAGCAGGGACTATAGGTGCATGCCACCATGCCCAGCTAATTCTTTAATTCTTTTTTTTTTTTTCTTTTTTTTTGTCCAGAGACAGGGTCTCACTATGTTGCCCGGGCTAGTCTTGAACTCCTGGCCTCAAGTGATCCTCCTGCTTTAGACTCCCCAAAGTTCTGGAATTATAACCATGAACTACCGTGCCTGGCCC